GATGCATTCTGCCACGCCTAGCTAATTTTTGGAGTTTTTTTGGTAGAGATGAAGTCTTGTTGTGATGCCCAGGCTAGCCTTGAACTCCTAGCCTCAAGCAATTCTTCCGCCTCAGTCTCCCACAGTGCTGGGATGACAGGAGTGAGCCACCATGCCCGGCCTCCTACGCGTCTGTTCATATCTAAATGCAGGAGCTATACCTGCAAATGCCTCTAAGGAGAAGGTCAGGCCTGAACCTGACCTTACACTTACGCGTGGTGTTCGACCATGGTATCAGTGGGTGGAGAAACCAGCTGTGGAGGTAAAGTCTGGTCTCCAGATTCTGATTCCTTTGGTTGTGGTGCTTTTAGAAAGCATCTGGCCAGCCAGGCATGGTGGCTTATGCCTATAATCCCAGCACTTTTGGAGGCTGAGGTGAGAGGATTTCCTGAGCCCACAGATTTGAGACCAGCCTGGGCAACTTGGCGAGACGTTGTCTCTGCAATAAATCAAAAAATTAGCCAGGTGTGGTGGTGCATGCCTGTAGTTCCGGCTACTTGGAAGGCTGAAGTGGAAGGATTGCCTGAGCCCAGCTGTTCGAGGCTGCAGTGGCCAGGAGCGTGCCCTGCACTCCAGCCTGGGTGACAGAGTGAGACTCCAACTAAAAAAAAAAAAAAAATCAGCTCATGCTGGAGAGGCTGAGGACACACTGACACTTTCGTCTTCTACAACATTTCTTGTGGGCGTCTTGTCCTGGAATCCTGTTTGGAAATCAGAGTCACCCAACGGGGCCACAGTCTGCTATATATCATTCTTAGATAACGATAGACAAGTGTCAGGCTGGCATGGGAGTTATGGATGAGTTAGACTGGTGAGGTCAGCGCTGAAACACGGGTTATCCCTTAGCACCTGTGCTTGTCTAGATCGGAGCATGCTGAGTATTCAAGCATCTGCAGGAACAGGAGCTGGTGTGGGTCCAAGGGTGGCGTGGACCCAGGGAGGATGTCCCAGGAGGCAGCGGCGGGGAGTCAGGGAGTCCCTGGCCAGTGAGAACAGGGACTGGAGGATGCCAGGTGCGAGGGGCGGGCCCTGGGCCAGCCTGCCGTCCTGCTCTCACCTGTCCTTTAATCTTTCATGCCGTGTTACCCAAGCCGCAGGGCCTCTGGGTTTCCCACAGGTTCCTGTGGGCAAAGGTATTGTGCACCTCCTGCTTCCCCTGAGAATCAGCCTCTCCTGTCCCTGAGGCTGCCTGGCCCCTCCCTCTCTCCCCTTCAAGTATCTTCCCGATCTCTCTCATGAAGCGGTGGCCCAGCCTTATCATGTTGGATCTGGGAGCCAGCCTGCCTGCCGCTCAAGCATTTGAAGCAGGTGTTTCGCCTTTCACGGCATCCCTCGCCTAGGAGTCTGTTTCACTGGTACTTTAAAGGCAAGTTCGAAGCGTGCTTGTCTTCCCTGTCTCATCCCCGTGTCTGGTGGCTAGTATACATGTTAGGGAATCTATGATATTAGGCTGGGCGTGGTGGCTCACACCTCTAACCCCAGCGCTTTGGGAGGCTGAGGCAGGAGGACTGCTTGAGCCCAGGAATTAGAGACCAGCCCATCTCAACCAAAAATTAAAAGTAGTGGTAGCGCGCACCTGTAGTCCTAGCTACTTGGAAGGTTGAAGCGGAAGGATCGCTGGAGCCCAGCGGGTTGAGGCTGCGGTGACTGGGAGCGGCCACTGCACTCCAGTCTGGGCAACAGAGTGAGATTCCAACTCAAAAAAAAAAAAAAAAAAATTAAAAGTAGAAAAATTACCCGGCGTGGCCGTTCACACCTGTAGTCCCAGCTATGCGGGAGGCTGAGGCGGGAGGATCACCTAAGCCCAGGAGGTCGAGGTTACTGTGAGTCGTGATTGGGTCACTGCGCTCCAGCCTGCGCAGCAGAGTGAGACCCTGACTCAAAATAATAATGATTTGTGATATCCTACCTGGTTTTAGGAATAGTGACTACTGTTTCTAAATAGCTTGGTTAAGGGTTCCCAAGTCTAGAGTTTGTTTTATTTTCTCTCTGGCTCTTTTAAAGCTGTTTCACAAGCTGGTCTCAGTGGCTCAGCCTGTAGTCCCGCGCTTTGGGAGGCTGAGGTGAGTGAATTGCCTGAAGACCCGCTGGGCAATGAGACCTCATCTCTACAATAAATCAAAAAATCAGCCGGGCGTGGT